TCTGATAGTGGCCAATGCCAATTGACCCAGAACAGGTAATCATCAAGTGATCCATCCCCTGTCACCTATTCCCAGCTTCTGGCAAACAGGCTAGGGACACCGTCCCTGCCCATCCTGGCTAATGGCCATTGATGGACCTATCCTCTATAAACTTATCTAGTTCTAAAGTCTGCCTCTTTAGTCTGAACTTTCCCTTTTTCCCCCATCCCTTTCTTGTGTTCCACCTGAATCTCTCCTGTCTAGCATTACATTTGTTTGATTATGTAGTCATTCAATTACAGTCTCCGTTCAAATTCCACGTGATTTGGACTTGGGCACCTTAGAGGGCCTTGTAAACCGTTTTTCAAATCCTCAGTAAGGAGGCTCTCAGGGCAGCTGGCCTCCTTTTGATATCTTAGGGATATTTGATTATATATATTATAGTGTTCAAGAATATAGGTCAAAACATATAGAAAAGCTTTATTTGGAAACGAGACCATGCTGAATGCTTGAAAGTTTAAATATAAGGGATTTCAAACTTGTTGGATAGGCTCTTTAATGACACAAGAACCAAGTTCTTGTATATTTAATGGTATTGTATGGTATGGTTTTTGAACAAAAAGGATATTGTACACTTATTTGAGGTGATATGAGTAATTTTAAATGTTTTTTCCAAAGCTACATTGGTTCGATTTAAAAGAATGCTTGAGTTTGGAATATTGAAACAAAATAGAAATCTTTCCATAAAATGGAGGAGGGGAAAATCCAATAGAAACACTTGTTCCCCAACAAACATGATGCTGCCATGTTTGTGACTCCGCAATTGCAGCATTGTGCTACCTCATGAGAATCAAAGTAAAACTGGCATGTCTGTTTTCATTGTCTAAGCAAAGTGAAAAGTAAATATAAGGAGAAAATTAGAATTTTTAAATACTTTTCATATAAGGTCTTTTGTAATCAAACGAATTTTTTAATATTAGTAACCTGAGCATATATTGAACTTTTTTGTGATCAAACTTTTCTATCAATAAAAGATGGTTAGATTGCCAATTATAAAAGTGTATTAACCCTCTCCTCCCAAAAAGAAGAACCTTATATAATTACTTATGGGAAAATTTTATTAGAATGTGGCTAGAGTTAAGTATTGAAACTTAAGATCTACAGATTTCCTTAGTTTCATTAGTTCAGCAGTGAATTTGGTGAATATACGGGGTCTGAGCCAAAGCCCATTGAAGTCAGTGTGAGTCCCTTTTGCATCTGAACAAAATTCCATAAATTATATAAGCTATTTTAATAATTTTTTAAATAGAATATAACCTCATTCTTCTACAGGTGAAGATGGCTTATTCCTGTTAGAAGCTGGAAAACATGAATTCCCATTCAGCTTTCAACTTCCACAGGAGTAAGTAAAACAATGTAACTCAGAATGATCATTTTGACAATTTTTGCTCTTGAAGAATAACTAGAGTAACTGGAGCAACTTAATCTCTTGGTTTTGATTTCTCCAAATCAGATTAATAAATAAACTTTTATGGTTATCTTGACCAGCCATCACATAGGCTTGCCTTATGTGTTATGATTTCCCCAAGGGCTTAAATAGAAATCTTCCCATAACATTGGTAGCGGGGGGAGAGAATCCAATAGAAATATAGCACTGCCATATTTGACTCAACCATTGCAGCATTGTTCTAGTGTATGAGAATCAATGTAAAACTGGTGTGGTAGTTTTCATTGTCTAAGCAGGGTTCAAAGTAAATATAAGGAGTAAGTGTGTGTGTGTGTGTGTGTGTGTACGCACACAAAATTTGGAATCCTATGATAAGCTTACATGTGAAAATGTTTTTTATGACTGTGTTTGTTTCAGACCTTTGGTGACCTCTTTTAGTGGAAAGTATGGCAGTATTCAGTACTGCGTGAAAGCAATTCTGGAAAGGCCTGTAGTACCTGATCAAAGTGTAAAGAGAGAACTTCAGGTTATCAGCCATGTTGATGTCAACTCGCCAGCTTTCTTGGTAAGAGCAATTTTTTTTTTTCCAAACCTGTGTTCAAGAAGTATTTATACCGAGCTGTAACCAGTTCAGTGGTACCATGGTCTGTCGTTTGCTGGCTTCTGAAAGCATATAAGCTCCCTTCTAAGCTTTCTCTATAAATAGATGATCTTGGGTTGTGTGAATTGCAAACAGAGTGGCTTTTTTAATACCATTGATTTAATAATTCCCTGCCCACAGGGCTGCTTTTGCCAAAAAGTTATGCAGGCTTGAAATGCATTAATAAGGCTTAATAATAATAATAATAATAAATGCACAAACCTAAAGTAGTTACTTTTACCAGAGCAACTACTTTCACAGGGCTGCAGTGTCCTAAACTCTTCAATAATAGTAGGTTGAGGAACAGTAATTACAGAAGAGTATTAATCATGCTGAGTCTGTCATTTAAGCTCTGGCCATTATGCTATGTATCCTTCCATTTTTGCATGTCATTTTCTAACATTAAGTGCATGCATGCAGCTGCTTCAGAGATCTCTTCAGTTATTTCTTATAACAGATTTGGCCACATTAAAGCATTGAACTTCTAATAATCACTAGAAATACTGTAGAATAATAAGAAAGATCAGCCTATAAGTAACAGAATAGGCAAGATGGAAGCTAATGAGCTAGATTCTTTTATCTAAACCCATATTATCAAAATAATATAAAATTATACCTTGCACTTTCATGATAGCAACTAGGACCTAATGGTTATTCATTTAAATATGAAAGAATATCTGCTTCAGAGAAAAACCTAGGATAATGTTAACGTTCCATCATAATACTTATGAGACTAAGATGCATTTTTTTTTATGTTGGATGATTTACTTTTCTCCTAATATAGCATATCCTTTTTGTTTCATTTTTCTTTTTTTTAAATTTAGAACTTGTATAAATCTTTTGGCAGTAACAACTGTAAGGAGTAGATCTAGTCCTTGCATTATACACAACTCTATTAATGGTCAAAAATAGGCAATATTGGGGGGGGGGGGTGTATGTATAAAAAAAATTTGAAAGGCACCTTTATTGTGTTACTATAGACTCTGAATATTTTTTTTTTAAAGTTAGTCATTTAAGGGCACTATAAAGAAGAGCTTGTTCAGCAGGAATCTAAAGTTACATAATTTAAATTCATTCTGCAAAGAATCTGATTCTAACATTGGGATTGTGCCCCTTTTATTATGCATACATATTGTATAAAGAAGGCTGTATAGGTGTGTTTTTGTTTGTTTGTTTGTTTGTTTGTTTGTTTGTTTTTTCCAAAAAGTTGTGTCTTGTGTGGTGGTGACTTTACTTTAGAAATACCAGGAAAGTAAAGTCTGGTCATCTTTGGTTTGCTAGAAGACCTACTTGATGTCTCAGACTACATTTACTGTGGGCTCTCTCCCGTTTCTTTTACAAAGTCTGGTTTTATCCAAAATGTAACTATCCATTAATGTTAAATAAGTAGTTACAATCTAAAACTAAAATTTCAAACAGTCCAATTAAAAATCACATCTCCGTTGATTGATGTTTCATTTGTGACTTTTGTGATGTTGAAGTCGCAACCTGAATTTCTAATGTTAAAAAAAGCAGAGTTTTTTTTAATTTAAAAAGTTAACATTTTTGCTTCATATCCATACATCATAAAGAAAAGCACAAGCCAGTTTTTTTTTTCCTGTGCAGTTCATCTTCTAAGCAATAGCCTAAAATAGAGAATCAGACTTGAGCATCAGGTATCTTTTAAATGAAATGTATAGTGACTGTCCAAAATGTATCTGTTTGTGTGTTGATAGTAGTGGTATGAGGTTAAGGACTTGATGGTATTTGTACTATGCAACTGTAATTACAGAGGACAGGAATTTGGATATTTAGGACCAGATTCCTCAGCTCATTGCCCACAAGTGAAAGTCAGTGAGACTCTGCTTGTGCTCAACAAGTTACGAGATTGGGGCCTTTCAGTGGCTCCCATACTTCATTGATTCACATACCATCATCTTAAAAATGTGTTGTGAAGTGAATGGATGGAACATCAAGCTCATGTACCGCAGTTTGGGAACCCCTAATACAGTGTTTCCCAAACTTGGGTCGCCACTTGTGTAGGGAAAGCCCCTGGCGGGCCGGGCCGGTTTGTTTACCTGCCGCGTCCGCAGGTCCGGCCGATCGCGGCTCCCACTGGCTGCGGTTTGCTGCTCCGGGCCAATGGGAGCTGCTGGAAGCGGCGCGGGCCGAAGGACTTACTGGCTGCTGCTTCCAGCAGCTCCCATTGGCCCGGAGCAGCGAACCGCGGCCAGTGGGAGCCGCAATCGGCCGGACCTGCGGACGCGGCAGGTAAACAAACCGGCCCGGCCCGCCAGGGGCTTTCCCTACACAAGCGCCGTCCCAAGTTTGGGAAACACTGCCCTAATATAGAATTGTTTTTGCATTCTATTCATAGCTGCAACTGTTCTGTAGTACGTGGGGGACAGGCTGTCATGGTGCACCAAAATTGGGAGAGCAATACTTTGAATGCCATGGAGCAGTGCATCAGAGTGGCTCAAAGAGTGTGTCGGGGTTGTGGCTAGGTTTCACAAACTGCAGTAATATTGGCTGCTGCACATCTTTTTAGGACTATATTAGCGAAAATGAGCTAGCTAGGTAGATGCCTTGGATCCTGACTTTGAGTTATAGTAAGCTGGGATTCTATGTCAATCACCTATTTAGTTTACTTGCATTTTGCAAGCTTACTGTAGCAATCTTCTGAAGCTTTGCACGAGTAATGTAAATTTCACCTGACATGACAGTCGTACTGTGGGAGAGCTGTTTTCATCGCTTAGGTCTGAATTTTAATGTATGTTTATAGTTTAACTTAGCCTTGCAAAATTGCTATGAAAATAGACCAGCTCAGGCACAAAATGTACTCACCCACACTTTACTGTGATTGATGATACGTAAAATATAACTTACTCTTTCTTTATCTGCCAAATAGTTGCTTGTTCCAGGCTAATGGGTGAAATAAAAGCTAAACTAATTACTTTCATTTTCTTGCATAAAAATGAAATATTAATGTAAACAACCAAATACAATGATTGCCCTTCAGGGAAGATATTTTCTCTTAGCCCTTTAAAGGCCACGACTGTAAAACTTGGCTGTAACTTGCATGCTTTGAACTTTGCATACAGCTAAAATTCAAATGCATTGAAAATGTATGTAGGTCACTTTAATAACTTTTTACATTTAATAGTTTTTATGTTGGATTCAATTTGGCTGGGTTTTTTTTTAACTTGGAAATGACCACATCCTGGTTGAAGACCATGGGAAAACTCCTACTGTCTTCAATAGTACTACCAGGATTTCATCCCAAATTTGGTTCTGAACTAGATTCCAAAACTCTGTATCCATTAACTTTAATTTCACAGTGGAAATAGCTGGCAGATTTTTGCCATTTGAAATTAAAAACTTTTATCATTGTGTTTTTTGTAGATGCCTGTTTTGAGAAGCCAGGAGAAGATAGTTGGCTGTTGGTTTTTCACCTCTGGTCCAGTCTCTCTGAGTGCCAAAATTGAGAGGAAGGGATATTGTAATGGTAAGAATTTTCTTCAACTCTGAAATACACTTGTGAATATTAGCATAATCTTAATAATCAAGCTATTTGGTCATGTCTTCAAACACAGAAGCAGTTCAAAACCAACACTAGTTTGTAACAACAGTTAAATGAATACTTCTCATTTAGCAGTTAGTGAAATCAGACCTGTGTAAACTTGGTGAAAAGATTACATCTGTTGGTAATGCAAATTGAAAGCTAGTGTTCTGGTATCTCAAATGTAAACCACCTTTTGAATAAGGAGTGTAAAGGACAACAGAATAAAGCTGTTTGGCAGGCAGACTGTTTTATTAGAATAGTATCAGAGGGGTAGCCGTGTTAGTCTGAATCTGTAAAAGGCAACAGAGGGTC